TAAAAGTTTACTAAAAAAGTTCTAAGTGATTGAAAACCGATGCTGACGTTATTATCGGCGCCATTTTCAAACATGATTCTCTTTTAGCGAGAAGCGTTTTCAGCGAAAAAAGCTCAAAATTTTGAGAAAAATGGAAAGATAGTTGTGTTGACTAACTGGTTTATACATCTTTGCCCATTTTTCTCTAACTGGTAAATGAAATCCCAGCAATAAAAAACAAAAATAACGATTTAGACGTTTGACCGCGGTGGTACTATATCCACTCTTCTCCAACTTCAGCCATGCATTGCAGCATTCTTGCTTGAAACTATTCTACGTACGTATCAGAAAGAACTACAAAATCTCTCATATTGAGTTTAGGCCTACCTTAAGGCGTGAGCACAGCCGACGACTATTTTAAATATATACCAGGTAAAACTAAAACCAAAAATTTGGAATTATTTCTACCAGTCACATCTTCTGATTAAAGTTTATTACAAATCAAGACAAAGTTACAAATTACGACATCTTTGCTTACTACAAATTACGACAAAGGTTTGTTACAAATTAAGACAGCTTTAAAAATTACAAATCACGAACCGGGCGTAGACCCTAAGGGTGGTGTGGTACAACTTTATGATGGTCTGGGTGGATAATGAAGAGGTTGATATTAATTGGGACGTAAGCCCCTTTTCATCCCCTGACATCGTGCTGAGTCACCGTGGTGAATTCAATAGAGGCAATGATCATTGGCCCATTCCTCTTTTTCCTTTAGATTTCTAGGATTCACACACCCAAGTGGCTGATAAAAGAGAAGCCCCAATCAGAATCGTGTTGCCCTTCAAAGACCAGAAATCAGCAAACGTAGTACGTAAACAGCTGGCTGACCTGAGTAGAAAGATCAACCCAGACATCAGCCCAGTTTACACAAGTAGGAAGATCAAAGCTGAAATTAAGGTCAAGGAAGACAAGCCGCCTCTTGTGAGTCAACAATGCGTGGTGTATGCTTTCCAGTGTAGCCTGTGTGATGCAGGCTATGTCGGCTACACGTGCCGACACCTACACCAACGAATTGAAGAACACAAAGGATCAGCAATCGGAAACCACCTCAGAGAGCAGCATGATTTGGAGCCTGAANAACGCGCAATCTTAAAGAAGTAATAGTGGCTTCCATATTTTGGCCAAATTAATCAAACGAGGCCTGGAAAGATTCAAAATGTTTACTGCAAATAATTTAAAAAAACGTCACCAGTGGCAAACCGTCGAACCACAACAGAAACCTAAACACAAAATCCAATTAGTTGCTGGCCAATAACTTCGTATGTACCTGTTTTTATAACACTCAATTGGGGTCTTACACTGAGCCGGCTGGGCATTTGGCCCATTATTCTCACTTGCTAGGTCCCATATAGGAACAGAAGGAGTACTCATTCCATCTTAAAACAATTGTTTTTTATAAGGAGTCCTCTAAAGCAAATACCATGGGGATAGTAAAAAATTATCCTTCCCTGCGTATATACAACTCGTAAGACCTTGCAATTCTTCCGAGCATGTTCTGGATTACTGTTTTTCCACAAAATGGAAAGGATGGAATAAACCATCCATTACTACTTGAGTTACCCTATCTAAGGATCAAACCAAAGACACAAGGCCAACAACGTAAAAAATGATACCCTATTAAAGGCTCGAGATCCTCAAAAACCATACCCTATCAGGCGGTACTTACCTATTTAGCCCATCCATATATGGGATTATATTCCCCCCCCCCCCCCCCCCCCCCCCACAGGTTTCTTTTTGAGCAAACATGGGGTTTGGGCACCGACGCCCCGGGGTTTTTTTAATTTTTTTTTTTTTATATTTTTTTTTTTTTTTTTATAATTTTTTTTTTTTTAATTTTTTTTTTTTTTTTTTTTTTTTTTTTTTTGAGCTGAGGCCTCGTTAGTGTGAGCAAGACTATTAGGACTGGGGCGTAGATACTTCTTCAATCATTATTCGGGACACTGACTCCCACCCGGTGTAAGCATCACCCAGGGTGGACCTATCACACTGTCCTACCCATAATTCCACTCTAACCGCCCCTTGTGGAATGTTTTCACAGTATCCCTCAAATGACCGATGATGCAGCTGATTATGATTGGTGTTACCAGACGGCCAGTAATTGTAAACACGAGCCTCAATCGTCATTGGTCCACTGCATTTGTTTCCATTGAACTTGAAATACCACCGGTTACACTCACCATTACCCCTGCCCCTCATGTTTCCTTGAAATGAGACTTTGAGCGATGTATCGGACGCCAACTTGTTGAAAGTACACTCCTATAAGAGAGAAAAGACGAGTAAAATGCCGTATTTTCCGACTTTGTCGTGCATGGTCAGGTGATTAAAGGTCGTGCAAGGTACGTTTGATAATATACACACTACAGGCACACCATATATTGCATTAAGGTCGGGATAACTTCTGAAATAGTAAGTAGTTCTGTGTGCAGTAAAGACATAAAAAAGACAGCCTATGCAGGATTTACTTAATTGAAGAATGAGAAGCCTAGTGAAAGGAAACATAAGACTTATTGCTTTCGTTTTTATTTCTTGAGGTGGACTTTTGTTTGATTTAGGATACATAAACCAGCATTCTTATTTACCTTAATCTTTCCGTTACTAGTACCGCTCTCTGATTTCCACACACATTGTTTCCAGTTGGTTTGTGGTACTACACTTGCTTGACTTGCTTTGGCGCTTTCTCCTTTCTCTCCTTTGTCTCCTTTTCCTCCTTGATTTCCCACAATGCCTCGCTCTCCTTTCATTCCCACAAATCCTTGCTCTCCTTTCATTCCCACAATGCCTCGCTCTCCTTTCATTCCCACAACTCCTTGCTCTCCTTTCATTCCCACAAGTCCCGGTTCACTTTTGATGCCCTTTATTCCTGTCGGTCCACTCTTCCCAGGAGGCCCCTCGCGCCCTCTGTTTCCTCCTGGACCTGGCGTTCCTTTTGATCCCGTATCACCTATTTGTCCTTTTACACCTTCCCTTCCCTGGGGTCCTTGCGGTCCGGGAGCCCCGGGTATTCCAGGCATTCCATTTGAACCTGGAATGCCAGGAAAACCAAGGCCGAGTGTAGATTTCTGAAAATAAAGATAGTTTCATCACTAGGTGGTGACAAACTACGGGTATTAAATAAGTCATTATCATAAAAAGTCAGTTGTGTGCAAATGTAGCCTTTTGTCTGATTATAGCATTTGTAGCCGTAATTTGGTGGTGTTCTTTGTTCGTCCATTCTGAGGTTGTTAGGTTTGTTTATGTAATATGTCAAGCATGAGATGAAACAACCGAGAAGAGAGCTAAAAATACCGGCCACGCAGCGGAGTATTTTTGACGAACTTTGAAGTGTTTCATCTGGTGATAAAACACTGCGACTTATGCTTGATATGACTTATCAAACAAAATTATGTTCGAAGGAGAAATTAAGATGCAAAAATGAGCAGTTTTTCATCTAATTTCCAAACACTAATTTCTTCTGTATTTTGTTTATGAATTATTAATGAGTCTGAGAAGTTCGTTTCTAGGGTGCTGGCATGGTATTCTAACAGCGGCGGTTGTTCTAAATAAGTCATCCAGCTTTGTAGAAAAACAGTCATTAGTACTGCGTAGCATACCTAATATATGAACAGATGAATTTTATATTGCGTTAAGTGACGAGGAATTTTCAGGGTCTTTCATAACTGAACTAAATGCCGCATTAAGAGAGACCAAGAGAGGAGAGAGAGGCCTGGGTTCTATTCCGGGTTGCACTAGCCCTCAGGTTTTTTAAGTCATTTGTAATGTTTAGGAGAATGTAGGTGAATGTGTTACCTTCTTCATGGATAAGTTCGAAAGTTGATAGGTTCTGTCATGCAACACACTCACCTTAATTCTTACTCTTATGGGACTTTTAGACCCTGGTGGTGTGCTCCACCTTTCATGGGTGGGGATAATAATTTTGAGCACAATATAATGTCAGATTGTTTTCTTACTAAAAAGTTATTTTAATAAAATAATTAATAAGAGGAGAGACTGGGAATGGTCAAGGTGTAAGAACGGTTTTTTTTTGGGTGCTTCGCCGTTTTGCGTGTTGATCCTTACAATTTGATGCCTCCGAAAAGGAAAGACAGGCCCACATCGTCTTCCTCGGACGCCGTTTCGCCCGAAGAGAAAAAAAAGGAGAGAAGCCAACAAACTACCAAAAAGGTCTGAGTTCGCACCGGCTTATAAATTTTCGTTCCTAGCGTAAGAGATTGTTTATGCTAGTAGTGTGTTGTTTATGTCTAGTCTGTAGTGTACTATATATAACGCTCTTTTGTAGAAATCACACCAATATGTTTTCTTCTTTTATCGTGTATGCCGTCTGTATTGTTTTCGTTAGACGTTACATCCTTGCTTGGCTTAGACATTTGTACGGTGGATGGTTTTCAATGCAGAATAACTGTCTTTCACCATCATAATTCTAAATTTATGCTCATTGAATGTTAGAGGCTTATCAGGGCAAGCCAAACGAAGAGAAATGTATAATTGGCTAAGAGATAAAAACTTTCATGTCTTTTTTCTACAGGAGGTGCACTGTACGAAAGACACCCGTGATTTATGGCAAAACGTATGGCTACAAAGCTTTTTTTGGTTGTGAAAGTAGGCGAAGGGCTGGTGTAGCTATTCTGTTTAAGAACAATTTCGATTTCGTTCGAAACAAAGATTATGTTGACCCAGATGTTCGTTCTACTATTTTAGACATTAAGACGGCAAATCTATGTTTTACGCAAGTTAATCTCTATAAGGATGACCCCTTCTTCTTTCGAATACTCGAATTTGATTGCGATAACATTATCTTGGGTGGTGATTTTAACCTGCTTAAGTTGCTAAATTAGACAAGGAAGGTGGCACTCCCAGCACCTCGCATCCGAAAGCGTTTGCCGAAATAGAAAAAATCCAAATTAACCTTGACCTAGGCGATATCTGGCGAGACCAAAATCCCCTCGAGAAGAGATTTTCATGGAGAAGTTGTAACCCATCTATATCCTGCCGACTTGACTTTTTTCTCATCAGTCGTCATTTATACGGTAAAGTAAATAATTCTGACATCGTAGCTGGGTACAAAACCGACCACTTTATGATTAGCCTCAGTACACGGGAAAAAATAACGGATTCCCATTTTTGGATATTTTAGGGTATTTAAAGAATACCCATAAAAATCCCAAATTTGGAAGAGTGAGACAAGTCCCAGTCAGGGAACTTGGTTGGGAATTCCCTGATTGGGACTTGTCTCACTTTGCCAAATTTGGGATTTTTATGGGTATTCTTTAAATACCCTAAAATATCCAAAAATGGGAATCCGTTATTTTTTCCTATGAGTTTAGGTCTTACCGAAAATCCCAGAGGCCCTGGTCTATGGAAACTTAACATCTCTTTCCTGACAGAAGAAGAATATATAAATCGCATCAAGAGGGTTATCCTTAAGACATGTGAATACTACAAAGACGAGAACGACGTGGATGATGCCTTACTGTGGGAGATGATTAAACTTGAGGTTAGGGATTCAACAATATTTTATGGAGAAGAAAAAGCTAAGTCTAAGCGGACGGACGAAACCAAACATTCAATAAAATTACGTTCCTCAGGAGAAAAAAAATGGAAGAGACGATGTCCCCCATTTTAAAAGATGAATTAGAGCAACAACTGATCGAGGCAAAAGAGGACTCGGAAAAAGTTTACGACAATTCAATATAAAACCAAAAGAACTACCTTGCGGTCCAAAACTCGCTGATACGACGAAGGTGAAGAAAAAATAAAAATAATTTTTCAACTTAGAAAAGCGACACTTCAAGCGTAAAGTTATACGTCAACTTTGTCGAGCTGACAAAACAACTTGACAATGATATTCTCCAAGAATGTGTTGACTTTTATAGTGAACTATACAGCAGCAGACCAATACATAATTACAACGACATTCTCGAGTTTTTCCAGGTGAAAATTCTGTGCGGATCGATGAGGATTCCAAAGCATCCTGTGAAGGTCTTTTAACAGTGAAAGAATGTTTAAATGCTCTCAAGACAATGGAAGCAAACAAGTCACCAGGCTCAGATGGTGTTCCGGTATATTTGGAC